GACAGTTGATGCTTTGAGCTGTGGTACTAGAGATGAGTATTGACTATGCCATGGATTGCTAGAACAAACAGGTTGTTTCTGGAGAGGGTGAAGCCAGGCTGCTCCTTCGAGGCAAGGATTCTGAAGCTTCGTCTGACATACTTTAGACATGTTGCAAGGTGGATCAGTCCTTGGAGAGGGACTCCATGCTTGGGAGGTTGGAGGGACAGCGCAGGAGAGGAAGACCGTTGATGAGATGGATTGATTCAGTCACTAGAGTAATGGGGATAGATGTGTCCAAGACACATGGCAAGGGGTACAGCAGGTTTTAGGGCTGTTGTACATAGGGTTGCTATGAGTCGCAGGTGACTCGACAGCACATAAAAACAACAACATTGTAAGCTCTGGTAGCCTACTGGTAAGGAGTTGTGCTGTTAACCCAAAGGCCTATGATTTGAATTCATTAGCTTTCTGTCCTTTGAGAGAAAGATGAACGGTTTCTTCCCATGCCGTTTACTGCCTCTGAAAACCTGTTGGATGGTCAGCAATGAATCGGTTCTAACTTATTGGCACACAATAACAACATTGCAACTTTTATTAAGTCCAGGTGGAAAAAATAATTCACTTGCTTATAGCTATATTTTAAATTTGAGTGAAAGTTTATAAATAATTTATTTTTCATATTCTCATTCAAAACATTTTGTTTTATAATATTCATTACTATTGATTAACATAAAAAATGACAATTTCTAATTAAATGCTGTCCCTTCGCCCATCTTATTTGTTATTAAAGTTCTCTCCCGTCACTTTCATCCCTTTTAACAGATATATTGTATCTATGTGTAAATCTTTCTTTGTTGTTGTTGTTGTTGTTGTGTGCCATTGAGTCGCTTGCGACTCATAGCAACCCTACGTACAAGAGTCCTAAATGCCGTTCTATCCTGTGCGAACCTTGCTGTCTCAAACACATTCATTCCCACCACTCCATTCACAGGATCATTCCATCTCATCAAGGGTCTTTCTCTCCTGCGCCATCCCTCCACTCTCCCAAACATGATGATCCTCTCCAAGGACCAGTCCCTCCTTGCAACATGCCCAAAGTATGTCAGATGAAGCTTCAGAATCCTTGACTCCAGGGAACATTCTGGCTTTACCCCTCTCCAGGACAAACCTGTTTGTTCTCCTAACATTCCATGGTATATTTAACACTCTTCTCCAGCACCACAACTCGAGGCATCAATTCTCTATCATCCCTATTCACTGTCCAACTTTCCGACGCATAGATCGTAATTGCAAAGACGATAGCCTGGATCAGGTGCACCTTAGTCTCCAGCCTGACGTCGTTTCTCTTCAGTACTCTTGAGAGGTCCCTCACAGCTGACTTTCCCAATGCAATTTGTCTCCTGATTTCCTGGCTGCTGTTACCAAGAGTGTTGACTGTGGAACCAAGTAAACGAAAACTCTTAACTATCTTCATCTCTTCACCATCCATACTGATGCTGCCCATTTGCCCAGTGGTTAGAATCTTTGTTTTCTTGATGTTGAGCTTCAATCCATATTGAAGACTGCAGTCCTTGACCTTCTGCAGCAAGCGCTTCAGGTCCTTCTCAGTTTCAGCGAGCAGGGTTGTGTCATCTGCATAACGTAGGTTGTTGACGATTCTTCCACCAATCCTGATGCCACATTCCTCCTTGTACAGCCCAGCGTCTCGGATGATCTGTTCTGCATACAGATTGAAAAGGTATGGAGACAAAATACATCCCTGACAGACCCCTTTCTTGATTTTGAGCCATCCAGTGTCTCCCTGCTCTGTTCTGACGACTGCCTCTTGGATTTACTATGCTGGGGATGAAAAGGTGAGAAAAAATGGGGTTGGTTTTATAATTAAAAAAATCATTTCTAGATCTATCCTGAAATACAATGTAGTGAGCGACAGGATAATATCCATACACATACAAGGAAGTTCAATGAATACCACTATCATTCAAATATATGCACCAAGAACTGGAGCCAAAAAAGAAGAAATAGAAGATTTTTACCAACTTTTGCAGTCAGAAATTGATCAAACATGCAATCAAGATGCATTGATAATAATGGACGACTGGAATGCAAAAGCTAAGAACAGGGAAGAAGGATCAGTAGCTGGAAAACATGGGCTCAGCAAGAGAAATGAGGCTGGAGATAGATGATAGAGTTCTGCACATTCAATGATTTATTCATTGCAAATACCTTTTATAAGAAACATTAACACAGGCTATACACATGCATTTCACCTGATGGTATGCATAGGAATCAAATCTATTACATTTGTGGAAAGATTTGCTGGAGAAGCTCAATATCAGCAGTGAAAACCTGGCCGGGTGCTGATTGTGGGACATACCACCAACTACTCATATGCAAATTCAAGCTGAAGTTGAGGAAAATTAAGTCAAGTCCACAGGAACCAAGATTTGACCTTAAGTCTGTACCACTCAAATTTCAAAACCATCTCACGAACAGGTTTGAAGCCTTGAGCAACAATGAGCGTAGACCAAATGAGCTCTGGAAGGATATCAAGAAAATCATCCGTGAAGAATGCAAAAGATCATTACAAAGGCTAAAGAAGAAGAAAAGGCCAAGATGGATGTCAGATGAGACTCTGAGTATTGCATTAGAGTGCCGAGAAGCCAAAGCTAAAGGAAGAAATCAAAGAGCTGAATAGAAAATTTCAAAAGGCAGCTCATGACGACAAAGCAAGATACTATAATGAAATGTGCAGAGAGCTGGAGTCAGAAAATCAAAAGGGCCAGATTCGCTCAGCATTTCTTAAGCTGAAGGAGTTGAAAAACAGATTCAAGCCACAGGTGGCAATACTTAAAGATAATTTGGGTAGAATGTTGAATGATCCAGGAAGTATGAAAAGAAGATGGAAGGAGTACACAGAGTCACTCTATCAGAAGAAATTGGCTGACCCAGAGGAATTTATGAAAGAACATATGATGAAGGAGGAAGTTCAAGTTGCTATGAAGGAATGGGGAAAAAACAAGGCTCCATGATTTGACAGCATACCAATTGATTTATTTCAACAAACAGATGCTGCTCTGGATGTGCTAAGTTGTGCCAGGAAATCTGGAGGACAGCCAGCTGGCCAACTGACTCGAAGAGATCAATATTCCCATTCCAAAGAAAGGTAACCCAACAGAGTGTGGAAATTATCGAACAATATCATTGATATCACATGCAAGCAAGATTCTGCTGAAAATTATCCAAAAATGTTTGGAACAATATGTCAACAGAGAACTGCCAGTTGTGCAGGCTGGATTTAGAGGTCGTAGTACTAGGGATATTATAGCTAATTGAGATGGATCTTGGCAGAAAGCAGCGAATACCAGAAGAATGTCTATCTGTGCTTCATTGACTGTGCAATGGCTTTTGACCATGTGGATCACAACAAGCTATGGCTGACTCTGAGAAGAATGGGAATCCCAGAACATTTGATTGTGCTAATGTGAAACCTATACTTGGACCAAGGAAAAATTTATTTAGCTTTTTATAAGAGTGGTCTTGTACTATTTTTGTCCTATTGTGACTGACTTATGTCACCCAGCATAATTTGTTCTAGGATCATCCAGGTTGTGTAGTATTTCATTAATGCTTGATGGTTTTTAAGTGATGTGTATAGTACATTGTGTGAGTGTACCACAGTTTCTTTAGCCAATCATAGATTGATAGACACTTGGGTTGTTTCCAACTCTTTGTTACTATAAATAATGCTGCAGTTTTTGTGGCAGCTCTTATTTTTTGGGGACATACATTTAGTAATGGGGAGAGCTGTATCAACTGATGTTTCTATTCCCTACTTTCTGAAGAAGTCTCTTACTGCTGTAGAGTCAAACTAGATCATCACTGACCCTTAAATTAGTTTTCAGAGGCTGTACATTGTATGGGGAAAGATTTCCCTTTTTTCATCCAAGGATCCACTGGTAGATTCAAACCTCTTGCCTTTGAGTTGTCAACACAACTGTTTACCCACTAGACCATTATGGTAGATGCACCATTTTACCTTCCTGCCAACATTTTATAAGAATGCCAATCTCGCTGTAGTTTACACTGTTTATTCTTTGCTGTCTCATTGAATTTTGCATTGTTGCTGATGTGAAGTGATACATTCTTACTGTTTTGATTTGTATTTCTCTGACTGCTAATCATGGAGCTCTGATAGCCTAGTCCATGAGAAATTGTATTGCTAACCCAAAGGCCACACCTCCCTTTCCATTTGAATCCATGAGCAACTCCAAAGGAGAAAGATGAGCATTCCTCCTACCCTGTGCCTCAGAAATCCATTGGTGGGTCAGCTATAAGTTGGTTCTGACTCAACAGCAAATAAGAGTGAATCAATAATAATCTTAAGCATTTCTTGATGCACTTGTTCGTCATCTTAATATCTTTCATAGTGAAGTGTCTCTGTCCTCTGCCCATTTTGTAATTGATTTGTCTTTTTCTTGTCTAAGTGGGAAATGATGATTTCTCAATTTTTCTTTAGTTCTGATAGGGAAAAATAGAAAGGAATCACATAATCTAGTTGTATTCTTCCTCCAGTTATTTATGTCTCAAGGAATCAGTCACTTGTGCCTACATTAAATGTAACTGATCCTTGAACCTCTTTGCCTGCTAATATTTGTTGTCACTTCATTCAGTGTTCATTCTCTCTGTTGGACTTTACCCTAATTCCCCAAGTAGGGAACTACTTGAGAATCAACCACTCTTTTACTTCCCAGTGCTTTTAATTTTATCTCACTTTTTATATTATCCCATTTTGCAGGTTATCTTCATATAAAGTGTTAAAAGGATGTGTGGTCATTGCTGTTTTCCACAAAACCATGATTTTTATTTTTTCTTTACACAAACCTAGGGAGGAAAGGAAATGTATACTTAAAAGCTAAAACAAAACAAAAGAGTTACAATAGTACATTTGTGTAAAGCTCAATTCCATTAGATGTTTATTAAAATTACTAAGATGTAGTTATTTTTCTCGTTTCTAGAAGCCTGGAAAGTTGATGGCCTGATAGAGCAAAGCCAGGATAATGAAGATGAACATTTCTTGCAGTTTATATTAAACAACAACAAAATATTAAGTAGAGAAAATGGCACAAGAGCAGTGAAAATGTTCCACAAAGGTATAGACTGTGTTCCTTCAAGAAATAGCCCTTATAGAATATGTGGCTCTTGTGAAATAAGTTTAAAGGATATTTCAGGCTTTATTAGTAGTAAAAAGGGTTTTTCAGGGAAGAAACCTGATCAGTTCAATGCATGTGAGAAATTTCTTGATAATAGGCATGAAAAAATGCCTATTGGAGAGAAATCTTATATTCAAGACAGTAATATTCTCAGTGAAAATGAGACTCTTACTCATTCAATTTTTAACCAGCATTTTGAGTATAATAAAAAGGAGAAAAACTTTAATGAAGATGCAGATTTTACAAGTAAGAGAGAGAAAATAGGAGAGACACTCACTGAATATAATACATGTCGAAAAGTTTTCATCCAAAGTTTAGACCTCAGTATATCTCAGCGAACAAATTTGGAAATGGAGCCATATGAATGCAGTATATGTGGGAAACTCTTCTATATGGATTTAAGATTTGGACATCAGCCAAGCCTTACAGCGGTTAATCCTTATAAATACAGTGAATATGGTGAAATACTGTATGGTAGTTCAATTTTCATTGTTCATCAAGGAGCTTACACAGGAAAGATTCACTCTGAATACAAGGTATGTGACAAAACTTGGGAGCATTCACCCCTCTTTAAACACCAGGTAATACAAATGGAGGAAAAGAATTGTGAATACAATGAAAACAGAAATAACTTCTACAAGAAATCACATGTCACCCAACTTCGGAGAACTCACTTAGGAGAAAAAACCTTTGAATGTGGTGAATGTGGGAAAACTTTCTGGGAGAAGTCTAATCTCACACAACACCAGAGAACACACACAGGAGAGAAACCTTATGAATGTACTGAATGTGGGAAATCATTTTGCCAGAAACCACACCTTACCAACCACCAGCGAACACATACAGGGGAAAAGCCCTATGAATGTAAGCAGTGTGGGAAAACGTTCTGTGTGAAGTCAAACCTAACTGAACATCAGAGAACACACACAGGGGAGAAACCCTATGTGTGTAATGCATGTGGGAAGTCTTTCTGCCATAGATCAGCTCTAACAGTACACCAGAGGACACATACAGGTGAGAAACCCTTCTTATGCAGTGAATGCGGAAAATCCTTCTGTGTGAAGTCAAACCTCATTGTACATCAAAGAACTCACACTGGGGAAAAACCCTATAAGTGTAATGAGTGTGGAAAAAACTTCTGTGAGAAATCAGCTCTCACTAAACATCAAAGAACTCACACAGGAGAGAAGCCCTATGCATGTAATGAATGTGGGAAAACCTTTAGCCAGAGGTCAGTACTCACCAAACATCAGAGGATTCATGCGCGGGGGAAAACAGTTTCTACATCCTGAACATTCAGCTATCTTCATCCTCCTGTCACATTTGTTTTACAGTTAAAAATTATGTTAGAGAAAGCCAAAGAATTCCACAGATTGCCAAAAAAGATATAATCATTGTATTTCAGATAATTGATAATAGTTGAAAACCAAACATTTTAAGAAAAATTAAAAGTTCATCAGGAAAAAAAAGTTCATCAGAAAATTTGTAAATAGGGAAATCTTGTCATTTTATGTAAGATCTTTATCTAGGATTTGTATTTGTAGTATCATTCCAAATGTGATACCAAAATTTTGTTGTAAATATAATACTATTTCTTTACAATATTTACAGTAGAATCTGAAACTTTGGAAGATGTTTAATGATTAAATATGTGGAAATTCCCTGATGTGAGTATGCAAATAGAACAGATTTGAGGTATGCTTCATCTACATATCATATAGATGTAAATAAACAATATGAACTGATAGTTTTGTAAATTTTAGGAAAATGTTACTTTTTATCACACTAAATTCCACCAGTGTCTTTATAGCATCACATAATTGTGTACATATAGATGTGAAGAGCCCTGGTGGCACTATTGGGCTATTAAGACTGTTAATCAAAAGTTCAGTTGTTTTTAACCCACCAACTGCTTTTGAAGAGAAAGACAATGAAGTCTATTACTATAAAAATCTATAGCCTTGAAAAATCTATGGGACAGTTCTACTGTCTTCTCTAGGATTACTGAGTCAGAACCAAGTTAATAGCAATGGATTTGGGTTTACATGTGAATAATTAATACAGACACTCTTGCAAATTCTCATTCCTAAAATATCAGGACTTTTTGAACCAGTTACACAGTCATTAAAATTAGATTATGTAATTGTACAATTTAATTATATTAAAGCAAAGATGAACACTTGACATGCATTACTTTCTTATTTTCTTACTGCATTTTACCATTATTCTTATTGGTGCACAACAGTAGTGTGTGTGTGTGTGTGTGTGTGTATAACTGTATAAAATTAAAATTTTTTGTAAAGATGACAGCTTGAAATTGCTGTTTTGGGATTAGTTACACTATGAATTTTGTCACACTACAGATTAGGGTTTTTATTTTCCCAGAGAACATACTATCCACTGGAACATCACTATATGTGTAAATGTATTTGACAAATGTACATTACAGATGTCTCCAATGCCAGCATAAATAAATGTCTTTGGTCAATATTAACTGTTTTTGTTTTTGTTGTGTGTTTTGTTTGTTTGATTTTTACAGTTAAAAAGTCAACAACTGTTGGGTTTTTTTTAATTTTTCAACTACCTTTTTATCAGTCCTGTTCTAAATACATCCATCCACACTCTTATTATTACATATTACTTAATTAAAATATTATTTCACAAAAATGTGCATCATCTAGATGTTCTGACTGTTTCTTGGCAAAAATTAGTATTGTTACTGAACTACAATCAAGAATTCAAACAGTATTTTTTGAAAGTTTCTCAGTTGCCACTAGGCTAATCAGTAATGCAACTACTAGTAATAATGACAATAGTTAGGTAAACTTTGTGAAGGTTAGCATCAATGAACATTAGTAATAAACTTTAATACTGCACTTTACAAATAAAAAGTTGTCCTACAATCAAGAGAAGATAGAAGAGATAAATGGGACCTTCTAAGAATCAAATTCCCTATGCATATCCAAAAACTTCTCCAATGGGGTAAAAAGGGGCACAGACTGGAAAAAAAGTATTTGGTAATAACATATCAGATAACGGACTTATATCCAGAATTTATAAAATATCTGAGCACCACAACAAGGTAAAGGTAAAGAATCCAATAGAAAAATGGGCACAGGATATGAACAGACACTTGATCAAAGAAGACATTAGAGGGCCAACAAGCACATGGTTGACTCTATGGTACACAACAACAACGACAATATATTATCTATTCTTTGCCATCAATACAGTTCAAATACATCAACTTTTCCGTGTTCCTTATTTATTGACCAACGTTCACATGCAATTGAAAATGCCATAGCTTAGGGTAGGTATACCTTAGTCTTTAAAGTGACATCATAGCTCATCAGCATCATAAAAAGTTACTTGGCAGGTAAGCATCATGGGTCCTTTTCACCTTCAGTAAACCAGGTAATAACCATCTACATGTCACAGAGCATTCATGAATCTTCCTCCAATCCATATGCTATCCACATTCTTTTTACGGTTCAGCTTCTTGGATTATTTGCTCAACATACAAATTAAACAGGTATCATCAAGGGGAGCTCTGGTGGCCTAGTGGCAAGGAGCTGCAACTACAATCCCAGAGGCGAACGGTTCGAATCCACCAGAGGCTCTGCTGGGGAAGGAGGGACAATCTCCTCCTGTACCAGTCAGATCTGATTTGACGGTACACTCACACAAAAGTAATAAAATACAAAACAAAAAAATAGGTATCATCAAAGGGTAGAATCCTGATTTATACCATGCAGTATGCTCTTGTTCTGTTCATACAACTGTTTCTTGGTCCATTTGCAGATTGTGATAAGTATTGAGGGTGTTTTGGAATTTCCAATCTTTTAAACAATTTATTATGATTCATCTAGTCAAATGCCTTTACATAAGCAATAAAATGCAAACTTTTAGTAGTATCTGCTTTCAGTCAAGATTCATCTTGTCAAGAGCAATGATATCCCTTGTTCTGAATCCAGCTTGAGATTTTGGCAGTCCCCAGATTATGTATGTTTTCTTGTTGTTTTGAATGACCTTCAGTGAGATTTTGAGTAATTTTAATGATACTGTTCAATAATTTTTTTTTCCATTTTTTGGTACCATCAGTTTTGCTTGGTGGTAGTGGTTTAGTAGGGTTTTTTTGAAGGTTTTTTTGGGGGAGGGTGTGATGCTTTTAAATAGACATTTAAAATTTTTTATAAATATCCAGTCAGATGGCCAAGTCTTCCCAATTTCTTGATACAGATGAATTAACACATCTAGTGTCAGAATTCAGGGAATTGGTACAGAATAAAACAATTTTTATAAAGAAAATCAAAGGGTGGAGCAAATACTGAAGTTGAAAAGTACAACAACAGAAATGACTACTCTTCAGAAGAGCAGGTTTAACTAGAGAAGAGGGAAACCATGAACTCAGACATTAGGCCATTAACATTGTTCAGTCAAAGGAACAAAAATGGATGGACTGATAAGAGATAATGTACCAAGTTTAAAGAACTGCAGGGGTCTCAATTCTCTAGTACTGCTACAACAGAAATACTACAAGTAGTGTTGTTATTATGTGCTGTTGAGTCAGAACTGACTCATCGTTAAACCTCCAGGTTTTCAAAGGAGTAAACTGCACAAAAAGAGATTGACTAGCTCTCCTGAAGAGCAGCTGGTGGATTTGAACCATATGCCTTTGGGTTGGCAACACAATTTCTTACCACTAGGCCACCAGAGCTCCCTATAACAGGTTGATGGCTTTAACAAGTTGATTTTCACAGAGGAAGCAAGAAGTCCAAATTCAGAGTGCCAGCTCTAGGAGAAGGCTTTCTGTCACTGTCAGCTTTGGAGTGCCTCAGTTTAATTTCCTTGGGGTATATTCCTAGTAGTGGGATAGCTGGATCATATAGAGTTTATATTCAGTTTCTAGGATGTTTCAAGAAGCTTAGCACTTTACTCTTCTTTCTGCTTTGTGTGTAGTCTTAATTAGTTTACTTTTTATATTTTAAAAAAGATTGACACATCCTATACCTGCGTTATGCAGATGACACAACCCTGCTTGCTGAAACTGAGGAGGACCTCATGCACTTGCTGCGAAGGGTCAAGGACTGCAACCTTCAGTATGGACTGAGGCTCAATGTCAAGAAGACAAAGATTCTCACCACTGGGCCTATTGGCAGCATCAGGATGGA